CTGTTAAAATGAAATCTGTATTTCTAAAATTATCCTACCCTTGTTTGTTCAGTTTTCAACTTCTTCCTCTAGCCCCAGCCAGTGAGCCTCCTTTCAGAGTTTATTTTTACTTCCTGCTGCTTCAATTTGCTTTAGATGGCTTGCTGCAACGTTCTCAGGGACAAAAAGGAATTGTTCTTCTGAAAAGCATCGAAGTGTAAGGACTGAACCATTCTGCTAAAATAATCTGAATTATTAGCTGAGCTGCCTGAAGCTAGGGTTATAAATATTTATCCCCCTTTTTCATATCTGATCCAGCTCTCAGTGGTCTACATTCTAAGCATGCTCAAGTCCCAGTCACCTCACTTCCTCAAAAGCCTGAGATCTGTACCGGAAGCCCATCACCACCCCACACCATAGAACAATGCACACTTTCTGCCTTCTATGAAAACATGCTTCTCCCCGACGCACTAGGTTTCTTCCATATACCAGCCTGGGTCTCCACTTAAGTTCAAAACTGACTTCACAACCCTTCTGCTCATATCTTCCAAGTGCTTCCCAAATCACTCACAATAGAGCATCAAAAGCCTTAGCTAGCTCACAAGCCCTGTATAGGATGGCCACAATTACCCTAACTTTACATCCTGTCAGCCTTATTCAGACTCATGTGCTCACACTCCAGTGACATCGAGACATCACTTCTCACCAGTGAGACCTTGGCTCTATTTTCTCTGGTGAGAAACTCCTTCTCAATGGGTCACCCAGTTGACTCAACATACCTCTGCAGACCTGTGCTCAGATTTCAGCTGTGTGGGACCATTTTGACTATCCCTGCCTATCAGTTGCCATAGCCCACTCTCTAGCTCCATCTCCCCTGGTCTTCTTATCCATCTTTTTCTACTTCTGCTAAAGTAGACCTTCCCCCTAGGACGGACATCTGCAGCTATCTCTTTGAACAGGAAGCTTCCCCCAACAAAGAACATGAACCATTCATCCATGGCACCCAAGGTCTGAGAAGAGGGTTCACAATTTAAGTAAATCCGCACAACAGACAAGGTTATCAGACAGTGCCTTTAAAATTAAACTTGGAAGAAGGAAGTATGTAGTGGAAGTTTTAGTACTATTAATAGTTCTTAAAACAGTAACTTAGGACATTGGGAGACTTGAGAAGTTGGTTCCTTTTATTCTCTTTGAGAAACTGAAGAAATCTGAACAATGAGATCTACAAATTATCTTTCAAAATGAAATGTACAGAACCCCCATCTATTTTTAAACCTTTTTAATAAGCCTGGGGAAAAAAACTACCATTTCTTTAAGAATCAGGTCATGTTGGGGCTGCTGAGATGGTTCAATGAACAAAATACTTGTCATTCGAGCTCGAAGATCTAGCACCCACACAAAATGCTGAGTACAGTGGCAGGCAAGTGCACATTACACTGGCACTGAGCGACCCTCTGGAGCTTCCTGGCTATCCACCCTAGGGTATCGGGGAGTCCTAGGTTCCCATGAGTAATCCTTAGCTTGGCCCCTGAAGAATGCCATTTGGAGTGCCCCACACATAGACACACAAAGGGAAAAGTGGACATCACCCCCCTCCCACCCACCCCCGTCACTCACATGAGGCCTTTTCAGTTTGAAAGAATAGAATCAGAAACCTGTCTTCACTCACTCAAGATCCTACAGTACTCTGCATTCCCTTGTGGAATTCACTCCATTGTGATTCATCCCACTAGAACCAGAAGCTCAAACTCTCGGGCACTGAAAATTAAGATTACCTCTACTCTCTAGCAATAAGAAAGGCTAGACATTGAACTAGTTATTCCAAAACTTGAAAGTTTCTGAGACAACCTTCCAGAACAATATTATTTTATTCTGTTGAGTTACTTTGAAGTCATTTCCCAACTGTCTAAACAAAAACAAAACAAAAAAACTTGGAAAATTTTTATTTTAGGCCTAGGCTTGTATATTTGATTCATGGCTAGCCTATATCATATTGAGTGACAATAACTTTTGAGAGAAACAATAACTTGACTCATGCCCTAGATAAAAGTCACCCAGGTTTTTTTTTCTTTTCTTTCACTTCATCTGCTTAAATAGTAAGCCTCATGTTATTTTAACCAAGTGTCTTACATGTCTTTTTTTTTCCAGAAACAAGAGAAAACAAAAACAAAATCTGCCTGGAAAATATGTGAGCATAAGGGACATACTCTATTACTAGGAGAAAAAAAAAATCTAACGATTCAATATTTGTCCTCGTTAGCTTTTTGTTACTGTAATAAACACCATGACCAAAAACAACTCGAGGGTGATTTGCTTGGTTTACAGGGTCACAATCCATCATGAGGGGCAAGCCAGGGGAGAAACTCAAGGCAGGAACCTAGAAGCACAAACTGAAGCAGAGGCCATAAGGAACATCACTGGCTCGCTCTCCATGGCTCTCTCAGCCAGCTTTCTTATACCACCTAGACCACCTGCCTAGGGACAGTGCCACCCACAGTGGGCTGGACCCTCTCACATCAATCACTGATCAACAAAATGCCCCCACAGAATTGCCTCCAGGCAAACTGATGTATATATTTTCCTAAATTGAGGATTCTCTTCACAGATAACAGTAGCTTGTATTAAACTGCCAAAACATGGCCAAGACAACATTTATCTGACAATCTTATCTTATATTACTTTAGAAAATTTGTTAATTGTGACCAAATTACAACTGTTTTGTTTGTCCATTTGTAGTTTCTATATATGTAACCAATCGTCTTATTAAATAAGAAACACAGAACTAATGCAAAGAAGAAAGCCAAGAGGTCAGAGCTAAGGGCTAAAACCTTACCCTTCCTCCTGTGGTAGTCCTACCTCTCTGAACCAGAGCTACTTCCTGTGTATCTGTCTTTTTATAGTGTTTCTGTTCTGCCTTCTCATTGGTTGTAAACCCAACCACATGACCGCCTCGTTATGGCCTGTCTGTATAGACCTCCAGGTTTTCTATGGTTGGCATTGAGATTAAAGGCATGTGTATCCAATACTGGCTGTATCCCTGAACACACAGAGACTTACCTAGCTCTGCCTACCAAGTGCTGGGATTACAAAGCATACGCCACCACTGCCCTGCTTTCCTATGGCTTGCTAATAGCTCTGACCCTCGGGCAACTTTATTTATTAACATACAAATAACATTTTAATACAAATAAAATATCACTAGTTTGTTTTTGTTTTTCAAGACAGGGTTTCTCTGTGTAGCCCTGGTTGTCCTGCAACTAGCTTTGTAGGCCAGCCTGGCCTTGAACTCAGAGATCCTCCTGCCTCTGCCTCCCAAGTGCTGGAATTAAAGGCATGCATAGCCACCATTTACAACTTTTTAAGAAACAACATTTAAGGGCTTGGTAGGGTCTCAGTTGGTAGTGTGCTTGTCCTGGGCTCAATCACCAACACTACATAAAAATCAAGTGTGGTGGTGTACACCTTTAGTAATCGTAATTTGGGGGTGAATGAATGCAAGAAGTACAGAATCACCCTTGGCTATATGGCAAGAAGCTAAAGGTCAGCTTGGACCACTTGAGACCCTGCCTTAAAAAGACAAGCAAACACCTGGCATTTGATTAAGGACTCAGAAAAATGTAGAGAATCTTCCAAGTTTGTTAATCTAACTTTTAGGTCTCAGAAGAGTCCCTTCATTTCTTTATGTTCAGACATGGAATGCTGGACTGCAGGTCTGTGGATGGGTAACTATCATGGTACAGTTCCAAACAGGCTTTCTCTGTCACAAAATGAAGACAGTAAGGTCAACTTCTTCACAGCCTTGGGAAAGTAAGAAATTTTCAAAACCAGGAGGCAAAAAAAAAGACACTAAGTTCAATAAAAGTGATAGATAAATCTGAGTCATTAAACTCACAAACATCCATTTATAAAAAGAAGCCATGAAATCATTTAAAAAAAATAATAAGTGAGCCTGGCTGACTGACAGCTGACAAGCATGCATGACAAACATATGTTATTGCAAATATAGAGAAGGACAAATTGGGAAATCCCATCAATCAACAAGAGTGAGAGAGAGGACTAGGAAGAGGAGGCAGAGGCTAAAACATCTAACAGACACAAAGAGAAAATACAAATGGCTCTAACCATAGAAAGGAGCTTGGCCTTACGTGATCAGTAAAGCTCAAATAGAATACCACTGTTTCTCAAGATTGTTTGAAGATTGAATGACTATGTATTTAAAGCCCTGGGACATGATAAACATAAAAGTTGTACATCTGGCTAGTGGTATGGGTCAGATATAAAGCATGTGTTAGCATGCAGGAAGTCTTGAGTTTCAACCACATACCCAAAACAACAACAACAACAACAATAACAACAACAATAATAATCTATGAATTAATTTTTTTTAAAAAAAATCATATCCTCAATGACCCCAGTGTGACCTCTTGCTAGAGAGCATACATCCAAACATGAAGGACTTCTCCAAAGTCTTGGCATCCATGAAGACCTGAACTTCCAAAGCTTGGGATGCAACTTGGACCTTTCTTTGGGACACACCACACCGGCCCATACACAATCTTAATGAGATGACCCCCAGCTGCCATCTCTAACTGTTTCTCTTTCCATGCCCTATTTTTAATATCACTTTTAATTTCATGTTGCCTTGTTGTATCACAGGCACCTAGGCAAGGCACTTGAACATTCCTTCAGAAAACAAGTAGGGCATGATACAGACTGCAAAAAGAGCCTCTGCAGGCATTGGCCTGCCACTCAAAAGACCTTTGCATCTCCATGCATCCTCTGACTGTGATCCAGTCCATTTGTGGGTTGTGAAGAAATACATCAAGACTGTCATTCCTGTGGGTTGCTATGGCGAAGGCTCTAAGTCAGCACCCTGAGTCAGCACCCTGAGAGTTTCACTTGCTCTTTGGAAGGCACCTTAACTTGGTCAATTCTAAAAATGTATTGGCCAAGGTAGTCTATGTATAATTGGAAGGAGTGACATCCTCACACAAGATTAGTGTGACCAACAGACTACTCACATCTACACGTCCCACAGGAGAGGAAGTGGCAGAAGCGTACGGAGGGGGTGGCGTCTCCACAGCTATTTCAGGATCTTCCTGCTCACTCTCACTGTAACATTCTATAACCGGAAGAAAAAAAATGCTTCAGGTTTCAAGGCTCTCATTATTTATTCCATAATGTATGAGCAAAGGTTTTTCTCCATCTGCCTATTGCAATTTCAATCTAATTAAAAAAGGAAGCATCCAAAAAGAAAAAAAAAAGAATATAGAAAGCAAGACATCTATGGCACTACCTGAGGAAAAGAAACTCAAGAATTGGAGAAAGAAGAGGCGCCCCCGCCCCATGGTGGTTTCTGCTGCCAGAGAGCATCCAGTATGCAAGATGGGGGCTATTGTGGCTCAGAAATAAATAAATTTATTTCATTATAGCACCATCAGCAGTGAAGATGGGAATCAGAATGAACCATGGGAGTTGAGTCTGACTGATAATTCAGCCTTGGCTGGTACCTAAAAAGACAACAAGAGGAGGACCAGGCTGAGGAATTGGGCTGAGCTACAAAAATGGAGATCTCCAAGGGAGACCCTGGAAGATGAGGCTTCAGAGGTTTAGAGGCAATATTACAATAGGTCTTAAACACCAGAATAAATCCTTCTACACAGGTTTCTCTTCCCCAGTTGATAACAAATGAATGCTTACCTAACAGAAACAAAGATAAACATGGGAGCTAGACGCTAACTTCACAGCATTGTAATGAATTCCCTTATTGGTTCACATTTGCCACTTTTTCATCTTTAAACTTAAGATTTTATAATCAAACATATAACTTTCCCCTTACAATCCCCAAGTGTCCTGTAATCTAAGCATTTCAGCACCAGTATGTGTCAGTGACCCTGACATCTGCAGCCTCTCTGTTCCCCACACTTAAAGCTAATAATATTAAGAAGATGTAGACGCCTGTGGCTTGTGAGGCCCGAACATGGTGTGTCTCCAGCCTGATCATCAGGTTCCAAGAACAGTTTCAAGGTAATGAATGTCAACACGCACCTGGCAGAAAGGTTAACCTGTCAGAGGAAATGGTGGGGTGCTAGTTATCTGCCTAGATCATGACACATTCAGGTCCATGAGTAAGAACTCTGTAAGGAGGGCAGTAAAACATTTGCATTGGCAATTGTCTGAGTATCAGAGAAGCCTGCAGCTGCTTAAGTGTGGGTGAAGTGTGAAATCACTTCTAGTTGGCAGTGGAGGCATGGCTCCATGGTGAGTCTGTGTGAAGATGGCTGTCTGTACCTCTTAGATCATTGCAAATGTCAAACCATGTTTCCCCAGGACCAGCCTACACATAGAATCTGAATTGTCTCTCTCTTCATCCTGATTCAGCCTATCCTAATATTCTTGCTAAAATTTCAGAAATGTAAAACAGAACATACCTTCATCCTTTGTAGTGGATTCCTGATGGATGACTGCAAACCCAAGTTTGTTTAGCCACCTGTGATTCAAATGGAAAGGAAATGTTTGACCAAGCACCTGGGCCCCTGATCCCATAGGCCCTGAACCTGCTCCCTGTATCAGACTTTACAAAGAAATTCAGTCCTAACTCCACACTTAGTCTGAGTATTTCCTAAAGCATCATGAGTGTGGAACATGGAGACCTAAGATTTCTGGTTTCACAACATTTGGCTTTCCAGGAGTCCACATTGTAAGAGGAGTGGGGTGAGACTTTATCCAATGGGTAAGGTTGGAAGCTAAATGAGTTATTCTAGCTATAAGAACAAATATGTCTTCTTTAGTAATTATATATTTAATCAGTCACTATCAAACCACTGGTCATCAAATTCAGTCACTTGACCATCAGAGCCATATCCCTATCAATTTTTAAAATTTATTGTCATTATACACATGCATTATACATTCAGAGGCCAGGAGACAACTTTGGGGAGTCCATTCTCTCTTTGTGCCTGTAAGTGGGTTCCAGGTGTTGAACTCAGGTCGTCAGGCTTGCCTATGTTACCCACTGAACCATTCTAGCTCTCTATCATTTTAATAACATCAATTGATTTCAGAAAAATATAGCCACATCATTCACTTTTAAGCTAGACAAATTTTGTGTCACTCAGCAGATCAGACTAAAACATAAAAGGTATTCCTAAATAGTGAAAATTTTAATTTCTAAAATCTTCATCAAAGTTAAAAATTGACAGGTTTCTTCTATTGATTAAATATCATTTGCACAATAAGTCTAGGCAAATCTTAATGAACTCAAACTGTTTTTAATTCTAGGCCACTGCCATGCTTCCTCAAGATTTCAGCTACGAACATATTGTAAAAATAATACTTTTAAAATAAGAAACATACCTATTTCATATATTCCTATTTACATAATCTAATACTTGAAGGGAAATGTCCTTTGGGTACAGTGGCTATCTAGGGGACTCATTCCCCAGGTGTTTCTGGTTTTTTGTTTGTCTTTTCAAATAAACTATATTTCATATTCTTTTTTTTGAGAAACCAGCACATTCAATAATGAGCCAAATTAATATAAACAAAGTAACAGTAATGATACTACACATTGTTGATTCACTTATACTTTTCTTCCAGTCCTTTCCTTCATCATGAACTACTTGGCATGCTGCATTGGCACCATAGCACAAACACCATACATGCCCAGATCTTATCCATACATGCACCATACATGTCCAGTCAACAGCTCCTTGGAAATCCACACCCAATCTTCAACTGGACATAATCTTGCTGTACTCATTATTTTTAAATACATGTTGTATATTATACAAAATGGGAAACCCTACAGGAAGGAGTATAAGCCTAGTCTCCTTAAAGATGTTGCCTCTAGTCCCACAACAGACTCAAGATCCCTAATGGCTGCATAAGACTGGACCAATGCTACAGCACAGGTGATGCTATAGGAAGGCAGGAATGTTCATCTAGTCCCTGAACCGTGACAAATAAGACAAAAGAATGCAGTCAGAACACACAAGAGCCAATGCACATGTGGGGAAAATTCTCTCATTTGGGACATGCACACTGGCCATTTGGAAACCACATTATCTAGACACAGGGGCCTATTTTTCACCTAAGGACTAGTGGGCATTGGAAATACTATTGGTGTCTAAGGAAAGAATGGAAAGATAAATATCTGAATAAAGTGTTGATCTAAACATGAAAATTGATATAGTCAGTTTTGAACAGGCAATTTGATGATATTGTTCATAATTTAAATATCTACCTTCTTTGCCAAATAACTGTAATTGTTAATATATATTTTGGGGAAAAAACAAATCTTTACATAGAAAAATATTGTCAACAAGGCTTGTAATAGTAGAAAGAAGAGACCCTGAGTTAATAATTGTCCATTAACAAGAAATCACATAAATAATGATCTGGATTATATTAATACAATGTTGTAATGAAACTAATAAAAACATTCACAAGTGGATTTGTAATGACTCAGAAAATATCCTATGACATACTGTTAGTAGAAAAGTACAGGACCATAAGTTTACCTGTCCTAATGTACTATAAAACTGACACACTCACACCTGTGCATGAACTAGTGCACACAGTGTGAGGAAGGAGAAACATCATACCGTCAAAAGTGTACACACCCCCAGAAAGAAGTTGAATGGAATATGGGAAGAGTCAAGAAATCTCATATGTTTTCTATTTTTGTGTCATTTAATTTTTACATGAAGTTTAATATATTACCTAACTAACACTTCAAAGTATGTAGTAGGAAACTGGGGAGGTGATTCAGTGGGTAGAGAGCTTTCTATGCAATCATGAGAACCTGATTTTGGATTCCCTTTATCCACATAAAGAGGAAGACAGTGACACCTGTCTGTAACCCCAGTGTTGAGTAGTGGGCAGAGACAGGCAGATCCATGAGTCTTGCTGGCTACCTAGTTCAGCCAAAGTGATGAGCTGTAACATGAATTGCTGAACAGTCTTATTAATAAAGAACTCAGAGCCAGATATTGGATGAAAGCTGAAAGATCCTAGAAACAGAAAAAGCCACAGCCAACCTCACCTTGCCAACTCCTCAGCTGATCCTGTTTCCATGAATCCTCAGACTGAAAGCCTCTGAGTCCTCACCCCTGAGGATCTCAGTTGAACTGCTGCTTACTTAGTTACTGTCTCCTCATGCCTTATATACTGTTCTCCACCCAGCCATGTCATTTCCTGGGATTAAAGGCGTGTGTGCTTCCCAAGCAAAGACATTACATCTCAAGTGGTGAAATTAAAGGTGTGTGCCACCATGCCTGGCTCTGTTCCCAGTGTGGCCTTGAACCCAAGTGATAGGATTAAGGGTGTGTGCCACCACTGTCTGTCCTCTATGTCTAATCTAGTGGCTAGCTCTGTCCTCCGATCCCCAGATAAGTTTATTAGGGTACACAATATATTGGGGAACACAATATATCACCACAATGAGCTCCATGTTCAATGAGGAATATTGTCTCAAAAACAAAGGTAGAGCCAATAGAGGAAGGTACCCATGATGATCTCTGGCATCCACACTTATACACACAAACATACATGAACGTGCATGTTACACAAACACACAAAAATTTAAGCACATTTCTAAATCAGATAAAACACAACATATTTCATGGTTCACTTTAAATAAAGTTTTCAGTTTATACATGATTTCATGCTTATATAAAGCTGGCCCTGCCCTCCCCACAAACTAAAAGAATTTAAAAGTAAAATATCAAAGAAAGAAAAAGACAATGAAGAGTTAACAGCAAAGGCTTTTCTAAACTCTATTCCAGAGTGTGAATGTAAATCAAAATGGAAACTTCATCCCTCCCCCAAGCCCAAGTCCTTTCCTTTCATTGTGATTTACTAACTGTGATGACCTAACAATTGTTTAGACTTCTACTTATAGGTCCTCCCTCACTAAGAACCTCTGTAAACCTCGTGGAGTACCTGAGAACCTCCATTTCTGGCTAAATACATGTATACACAAAAGGCTTTACACAGACATGAAAGATGGTCGGTGTTTCCCGGGAGTCTACTATGTACTAAAACTTGTTGGGAATGTGTGTGTTGGATGAGTATAGTATTAGGACATGGATACCCACATAAGAGCATTCTTCCTGCGAACACCACCTGAGAAAGGCAGCAAGCCCACATCTTTGTTTAGAACTGACTCTTTCATTACTCTTAATGACTTGCATCTGGCAATTGAGGATCATGGCAAAGTATGAGAGATTTCTATTACACTGACTTCTCTGTTTATCACCCTTGAGGGAAACATCACCTCTAACCCCCCCCAAAAAAAATGTAGCTAGCCAAAGAGTTGAATGACTAAAAACTGAAAAGACTACCCTTCCCTCCAAACCTATCCCTAAGTTATTCCTAGATTTATTACTGACTAGTTTAAACAGGCTCCATCAAGAGAAAAGGAAAAGTTTCAGGTGTCATTGGTAAATAAACCTCTAGGTATCATCTGCATGGTCTTGTAGGAGAAAGGACAAACTTGGTAGTCCAGAGAGGTTCTCCCTTGTTGGCTATTGAAAGAATTATCTTAAGAATAAGAAAACTCAGGGATGATTGTGATGCTTAGCTTTGTGCAGCTGGCACAGTCTAGAATCTCCAGAGCAGAGCATGTCAGTGAAAGCACTGCCTACATCAGGTTGGCCCGTGGGCATGTCCCTGGAGCACTGTCTTGATTGTTACTGATGTAGGAAGACCCAGCCCATGGTGGGAAGCACCACTCCCTTGGCTGGAGTCCTGAACTGTGTAAGAATGAGGAAGCAAGCTAAGCATAAGAGAGCAAGCAAGTAAGGATCCAGGCACTTGTTCCCTCTGCTCTTGCCTATGGATACGATGCTTCAAGCTCCTGCTTTGTCGTCCCAATAATAATAGACTGGAACCTACAACTGTAAGTGTAATAAACCATTTCTTCCTTAAGTTGCTTTTTGTCAGGACTTTTTATGACAGAAGGAGAAATGAAGCTAAGGCAATGGCATTACAGATAAAAGAAATCATCATATATTCAAGCAGAGGCAAAAATGGGCCTTGTAGCCATGAGTAGTGAGATGAGCAATTTAAGGACTATGATGAAAATTATCATGTGAATTATAAAGATCACTGGAGAGATTCAAAATTAGAGCCCAGGGCATCTGAAATTCAAATTTCAATTTATAGCTTATTTATAAGTTAGAAAGGGATATTCTCACAGAATTTCAAGCAAGCCAATGCTCTTCGCAGCACAGACTAGCAATAAGATTTCACCTTGATTGTGGTGACGGGTGTTGCATTACTAGCCACCAATGTAAAAGATGTCTATAGCTAGAACTCATACAAGCCCTGCCATCAAATAGGAATCTGCATATGGAAAGAAAGCTGGACTATAAAGAGTGGAAATGAAAACAAAGGCTGAGCTGGTAGCAGCCGGGGACAGGGAGCTAAATAACCTTGATGTGTGCTTAGAGTGCCTGAAGTACAATGGATTCCTCTAATCTCGTAAGAGTCTAACCTCCTCTAGACTGAAAATGCATTTTTCTGTGTAGGGGACATTCACTAGGTAACAAGGCACTCAGAAGGACTATTTCTCTGGGATGCTTTTTTTCACTCAGCCTTCTCTGAGAAGGTGAAAACTACTTTGAAAGAATCAGCCCCCAAGAAGGGTGGGGAAAATAACAGGGATAAAGCGGAAGATACAGGATGCTGTTAGAGAAGCTCTCAGGGTGGGGTGGGGGCAGCTCTGTCTTCCTGCCGTGACAAACCAGAGGCAGCCCTGTGAACCTCAGGGGTGACCCAGCTGCAGACTGGCTACCATCTCTGGGTTCTAACTACCTCTAGGCAAGAGCACTCCCTCTTCTGGACACTCAAAGCATGCGGCTGCAAAGCAGCGGGATTGAGTCACCAGTACCATACAGAGATGAGTGATGACCTTTGAAGGGTGTGAGCTGTTTCTTCTGATATGTCTGTTCTTTTTTGTTCCTCTCGGATGCTTAAGAAAGGCAAAGGAGGGGGTGAAAACTACAACCAGAAAGAGTGTAGAAATAACACTCGATCTGTCCATCAAAGACGTGTTTGAAAGACACTGTTGTCAGTTCTGTCTCTGACAGCTAATCCATGGTTTCCCAACTTGCTGTGAGCAATTTGTCCTCACTTGAAGAGATGAGGTGAGGGTAAGCTAAGTGGGTATAACAAATGAGAAGGCTCCTAGCTAGACAGTGCTGCAGAAGAGGTGACCTGAAAGGAGTTGGCATGTATAATAGAAGATAGGATCTATTTTATTATTAGTTTTCTGAAACAAGAAGGCAAAGATGGATTAAGTATGGAAGGTAAGCAATACAATTATCATGCATGGGGCTGGAGGGATGGCTCAGAGGTTAAGAGCACTGGCTGTTCTTTCAGAGGTCATGAGTTCAATTCCCAGCAACCACATGGTGGCTCACAACCATCTGTAATGAGATCTGGTGCTCTCTTCTGGAGTGCATGCATACATGCACGCAGAACACTGTATACATAATAAATAAATACATCTTTAAAAAAATTATCGTGCACAATAGATAGCAGCATTTAAGTATAAACTCTATGAATAGAGGAATTATGGGGTGGGAGAGTTTGACTGTTACTGCCCAGCGTCTTTGGTAATGGGGCATACTATAAATGTTCCATAAACATCAAACTATTATGTGATGGTCTTAAAGACATCAATAACAGTCCTTTTCAGTTAATGGGACATCCTCTGGTGCCTCAAGGCAGCGTCTTATAGACCACTTCATTCAAATTACAGCTGGTGCAATGCATCTTCATCTAAACCAGGAGCGAAGTGGGAACAGAGTGCATTGACTTAACAGAACAAGCTGGAAGCAGAGCTAGGATAGCTCTTAAAGTCATAATTAAATGTTCAGGGTGATACATGGAGAAACAGGAGGTTAAGTCCATGAACCTTTGTGACAATCACACACAATCAGGCTGCAGACCCTGAGTGGGGATGGGTCCTTCTCCTTATGATGTGTGTTCTCATCACATCACATGTCCTGTCTTCTCTCTCCTCTCAGTGGCTCCTTCAGCAATCTTACAACTACTTCCTAAAACAGCCATTTAGATAAGTGTATCTCCCCAAATGACCACATATTCTAGAGAAGAAAGCAAGATGGTTTTATAATTGCTAAAGGAATTAACAGAACAAACTTAAATAACAAAAACAAGTAGGACAATAACTGACATGATCATTGGCTTCAAATTCTGATGCCTGACCAAAGTAACTTCGTTCTCTTAGGGACTCGATGTACCAGTTTCCTCTACTTACACATTCATTTCCTGCAAATTCTCTGCTGCAAAGTAGAAGGCTTTGATCTGTGGGTGGTTGATCTTAAATGCACTAGAAAGGAGAAAAGTACACGTGTTAGTGTTTTTAAAGTAATTATATTAAATACCTATTATCTGGTCCCTATTTCACTGAGTGAAGTGAGAGTCAATTTATCATGTCAGAACTGCATCTTAGCTATTCAGTTGTTTCCATTTAAATGTGTGTGTGTGTGTGTGTGTGTGTGTGTGTGTGTGTGTGCATCTTTTTCACTTGCTAACTGTTTAAAAGTGTAGAGACAATACATTCAAGTTGAGAGTCCCTGAATTGTCACTTAGCGGTATTTAGATCAACTCATTCAAGCAAGGTATTATCTAAATTCAATCAAACATACAATAGAGTTTTAGTTATATGAAAATAATCAGGTATGCGACTTCTACACCACATGACTCTTCAGAAGCCATAGATAAGGGGCTCTGTACTGGCAAAGGAAGAATACAAATTAGATATTAGTTAAAGGAAATTTGTGACCCATCAGTGATAGCAAGCAAAATGTTTCCACTTACCAATCACACTAGAAGTTCTGAAGAAGAGAACAGAGTTGTTTTGCTTGTTTTGTTTTCAGTAACCCATCAAAAACCACAAGTATCAACACAATCAACACAGAACAAGACACAGCTATTATACCAGTACAGCAAAGAATAAAATCTAACATTGTTTCCCAAGAAAACAATCCATGGCTCAGCAATGAAGAAATGTTCCTTTCCGATAAATAAAGGAGAAGATATTGAAGAAAGAACAAGAGAAAGATGAAAGAAGTAAGTCACAGTAGGGGTACTCTCTTGAAATGATCATGTGATCAGAGTGTATACCCAGCACTCTAGGGAGACCTTGGCTGTTCCCAGACCCTTCAGGCTCTGTCCTTCTTAGCAGAACAATAACCATTAGCTGGAGCCTACTTTATCCCATCACTGCTCACACTTGCTCTATAGCAGGATAAAATCCCAACCTAAATGCATCAGAGCATTGAATGTCAAGGCTGGTACTAATAATACCATGAACTAAGATGACCTGGTCTTACTGTAGGGACTACATCTATGTCTGGTGACCCCTGTTTAGACATTTGTTCTTTACAAGGTCAAAACCTTGACATTGATTCCCTTGCCATTGTGTGTGTTTGGTTCAGGGGATAGGGTGGTTAAAACCCATCCACCCCATGGGTTGATATGCCAGAAAATAAAAGGTTACCATTTCTATGTACATTTTCTATGAGCATATATTTGTACAGTGCCAACACACAATGGTCAAAATTCCCAGACATTTGAATTGTACCTGTATCCCCTTCCAAATCACTCCATCACTAGATGCACATTGAAAATGGCTATGATCCTGGCCCAGGGCTTTTGGAATGGGGGAGGAAGAAAAGACTCACTGTTTTTTCTTGCATTCAGAGGCTCTTTCCACTGTGAAATCTGGCAGGTTGACAAATCCATCAGCTTTCTCTGCCTGAAACAAACACACAGCACACACAGTAATGAATGCTCTGATGCTGGGCTCCAAACATACTGACATGAACTACAGAGTCTATATGTGAAAAGAAATAGAACCCACAGGAATGTCTGTGAAGTAGCATTAATGAACCATGGACTTAGATACCCTGTTTATGGAAGAAATTAATATTCTAAAAAACATAAAGAGAAACTCTTCATAAGAAGTGACATGAGAGCTGAGTGGTTGTATGGTATGCCTTTAATCCCAGCACTTGGGAGGCAGAGGCAGGAGGATATCTGTGAGTTAGAGGCCAGTCTGGTCTACAGTGTGAGTTCTAAGACATCTGGGGCTACACAGAGAAACCTTATCTCGAAAAATTAAAAATAATAATAAATAATAAAAAAGAAGTGACATGATACAGCTTAGGGATGATCAATATACAGCAGATGTGTGCCTGCCCCACTCTCCTTCTGTCCTCCTGAAACCCACAGAGTTAACCCATCAACGTCCTGCTTCCTGCTGAACCCAGAGGCAGGCTCAGCATCATATCCCCGCCCCCAGCTGTGGTGAGCCACAAGCACAGGAGACAAAACCTCATTAGCGGCCTTGAGATGGTGGACAGAGCTCAGGCCTTGAAGCTGGCAAACCCACAGATACACATCTCACTGGTTGTTAGGACTTGAGGGAGCTCAGATAAACATAGCACTTAACAGACACTCCGCAGGAACTGCTTCTTCCCCCAAGTCTATAGGCAGTGTTTGGAGGGTTCAGTCAGAGCCACATTGTGTAAAATCCTAGTGTCTTGGAAGAAAGTCCCCAAGAAAAAATGACACTGTTGATAGCATAGGGTTCATATTGCTTTAAATCAACAAAAGCTTTACAGGCAATGCAACCAAGGCGCCATCTCTCTGCAAACCAGTTGATCTATGACATATGAATAAAAGTTGAGATGATCCACAAAGAAGTTGGGTCATATGTCATAAATGGAGCTCAAATCTCCTTTCAGTCACACTAATGTCCCTGAACAGAGAAACACAATTAAAAAAAACAAAATGTAAATGAATTGGCAGATATTAGGAGGTGGATAAAATTTGATTTTGAAAAATACAATCTTAATTTTCAAATCAGTTAGCTGTTCAATTTGTTCCAGTGTGATCTTACTTGACTTTATTACTCTGTCTCTTTTTTATATAATTTCTTCAGAAAATTAAACTAGTCAACTCCATTCCTAGCCTCTATCTCCTAGATATCTCAGTTTATCCAAGTATATACCTGCATGCTCTCCCTTATAAGAATTAAAACTCAATTCTAGTGAGAATTTCTCTTTTTAAAATATATATACACACACATGTATACACTGAGTGCATAAATAGGTATCTTGTTTATTAATAGGCTATTTAGTTACCACATAGTGGCTTCACCAATCTCATATTTAAAAACAAAAAATACCAAATATTCAATGAATGTATAATATATGAGTTGATATTTTATATAATATACAATGTTTCCTGTGATTTTTCAATTATAATTAGATGGATAAATGTAATTTTGGAAAACCTAGGGCCCATCAATTCCATTGCTAGAAACATACCCAAAACAACCAAATACAGATGCTCAGGTATATATGCATAGTGACAGAAACACTGTTCACAACAGTCAACAGACTGAAACACAAAATGACCATCAATAAATAAACTGTGATAAATCCATACAGAGAAATATTATGTATTGTCACAAACCTCATGAAAGACTGGTATATGCTATATAGATCAACCTTAAAAATATTATATTAAGTGAAAGATTTTAGTCACAAAAGGTCCCATATTATTGTGCCCATGTAGATGAAGTATTAAGAATAAGAAATACATAAAGAAAAAAGCACAGATATATATCCCAGGCCCTGGGGAATGAAGAATTGGGCACAACTGTTTGAAAGCAGTGAAGTTTGTCTTAGAAATGTTTTGAAACTAAATAGAGATGGTTGTACAGTTTGTGAATGTATGAAATTTCCATTCAAGTACTTCAAAATGGATGATCTCATGTAAAATGGTCATATTGATCATCCTACGTAACATCAATGTTATGTTAATACACTTTCATATAAATTCCCATAACTGGTCTTGAGGAAAGCAATCATTTATATTAAGCATTTGTTGCCATGTCCCCCAACATACATTTCTATGCCAGCTGTTCCAGATTCTGTGAAGCCTACGTACTTCCATTGCTAAATCCCATCCAACTCTTCCATAAGCCCTGAGTTGGACTCTAGTGAATGTTAGCATAGTCCAGTCCTTGCCTGTGCCTCCTAGCTTGGCTTCCCTAATACACAATACTGCTGCTCACCTTCCCTCTGATGGCTCCCTCTTCTGTAGCCTTCTCAAGGTCTTCTGCTATTTCTCCAATATCAGGGTTCCTTAGAGTTCAGTCCATTAACCTTTACTCTCTCCATTCCAGCACTCTGGATGCCTGACTTGTGATACTCACATAAATTCAAGTATCATCACTATAAACACACACACACACACACACACACACACACACACACACACACACACACACAAAATCTATAACTTGAATTGAAACTGAATCCTGGAGCTCCTTGCCTAGTTGTATAATGGCCGAATGTGTTTATTCCAATGGATAAATAATGAGCTCCTGAAGAATGACCCAAACCAGGCTCATCATCTTACTCCACAGTGTGCCTTCTCCTCTTCTGTGTTCTCTGCTTCAGTGAATAAGATGACACTATCTATAATAAGAGAAAAAGAGGGTGGAAAAGGAGAGAGAGAAGAAGAAAGAAAGAGAATTGGAGAGAAAAGAGACATTTCTAGCTCTCCCATCCCAGCTATCGCCATTTGGAAACTGTCTGTCACCATCAAAATTCATATTGAGGCTTAGTCTCTGATAAGAAAGACTAAAAAGTCTTTAAAAGTTGGGTGAATTTTTCTACCGAATGGACAATATCAAACCAACCTCTAAACTAATACTTCTGTGGTGGCCTGGATGAAAATGGCCCACACAGACTCATAGATTTGAATGCTTGATTCCCAATTGGTGGAACTGTTTCAGAAGAATTAGGAAGTGTCGCCTTGTTGAAAGAGGTATATCACTGTGGGTGGGCTTTGAAGTTTTAAAAGACTCCATTCCCTATATACATGCTTTCTCTCTCCTCTCCCTCCTGTTTGTGACTCAAGATATGAGCTCTTGGCTATTCTTGCTCCACCATCATGGACTCTGACCCTCTGAAATTGAAAGTCCAATCAAATGCTTTCTTTTATATAAGTTGTTTTTGGTCATGATGCTTTATCACAGTAATAGAAACCCTAAGTAAGACAATCTCTATACCCATAGATTAATGCAGCTTTCAGACCTTGTAAGAGAAGCATTTTTATGTAGTAGATGGTGTTTGTTAACACAGAAACTTACAACTGAGAAAGTCAGAGTAAAGAGAATTGCCCCAAATGGGACATCTATATCGTACACACACACACACACACACACACACACACACACACACACACACACACACACGGCTCAGGGACCATCATAGAAAGACTAGGAGTCAGAGATCAAGGAGGACTATAGCAAGAGTATCTTCTAGATGTGACAGGGCCACTTCACTCATGAACTCAGAGCTGTGGTTGCCTACACAAGACCAGCACAGGATCAAGCTGGTCAGCATTTTTGCATGGAGATGAGATGGCTTTATGAGCTGCCACCCCTAACTGGGAAGTTTTTATAATTAATGGCTTCTCAGGGAGGGAGAGTCGGTCTTCTTTAAGGGTTTGGCTCTTAGTAGTTAACCACCCTCCAGTGAAGGGTCTCACATCCTGAATATATGCACTGCAAAACTGGGTTATTAAAAAATAAGTAAAAGAGAACAGGAATTTTGTTGGGGGTGGAGAGATAGGGGATGTATCTTAGAGGAGATAAGGAAGGACTAGGGGTGAATAAGATCAAAATACATTGTATGACATTCTCAAAGAATTAATATGATCTTTCTTTTAAAAAATTGAAGTAAAAGCTAAGTAAATCATGGCTAGAGAGATGGCTTAACAGATAAGAACATTTGCTGTGCAAGCATGACACTATAACTTCAAATCTCAAACACCCACATGAAATGCCAGGCATAGTGTCATGTATACCTAAAACACCAGTGCTCTGCCAGACAAAGGCAGGAGCTTCTCTGGGACTATCTAGCCATCAGCCTAGCTCTAGGTTCTGTGAGAGACTATGGCTCAAGAGAATAAGGTGGAGAGTGATAGAATAGACAATTGAGATGATCCTTTTGGTCTCCATACACACACATATGGGACCACAGATACCACAAATGCATGATGAACAAATAAATTAATATGCTAAATAAGCCATTGGGAACAAAGGTTTTTCTCATGAGAGTGAATTCTCATTTTCATGGAGACTGGTTTGCCTGCTGATAGAATAGGTTGTTGTAAAAAGGCTCCTCACATGCTGGGATCCCTTTGCACACAACCAGTATGCCTCCCGCTTCTCCATCACACAAGCTGTATGTGGTTCTTGCTGGAAGCTAAGCAGATCCCATCACCAGCCTTCAGAATTATAAACTAAATAAGCATCCCTCTTCCTTAGGAGCCACCCAGCCTTCCGTGTTTTCTTATATAAGATGAGTTAAGATGATCCTTTCCATAATTCATGCAAGCCAGGTAAACACAAAGTTGTTATGGTTGCATCTTCCAAGATGGTCCATTCATCCATTCCTACCATGTCATTTCCTGTCCATCACCATTAGCTTCTTGTTAAATTACTGCAAAAGCCTCCAAAGCCAGTCCTCCTCTTTCAAATTCTCTCCTTCAACCCAATATAGCACCCAAAGAACAGCCACAGCAAATCTCTACATCATGAACATGCTTCATGTCACTCCTCTAATTAAAACCCTGCATGGTTTCCAGTTTCTCTGTACTTCAGCAGAAAACCCTTTATGGTTGAGCCCTAATTAATTCCACAATTTCACCTTCTCCAATATCCTGTCCTCTACT